TATTATAACTAAAGTTATCGAATTATATAGCTATCGTCTTAATACGCTAAAAGGAATTTATAACGTATTCTATTCGAATCTATTACGTACGATATCTATAAATCTATTACCTTCGTAAGTTACTAATAATACTTAATCGAATTCTATCGTTATATAGAATAAAGAAGAATACTAGATTAAAAGAATTATCTACTATAAATTCGTACGAAGAAGCCGAGGGTCTTAAAGATAGTACTTAGTAAAATAAACGAAATATATAGAACTAATCTAGGAACTAGAATTATCGCTCTAGAATATCGTAGCTTTAGACGCGTACGAATCGATAGCGAAATAGTCGGCTTTCTAATTACTATACGAGAGTAAAGAGAAAGTACGTACGAAGGAACTATAAGAATAATAAAATATCTAATTATACTATATATATTTAGCTTATTTAATTATTATATAACGAAGCTTAACCGCTATATTAAGGTATAAGCTATAGTTAAGTATAGAGAATATTCCTTATCTACTAGGATTATACTAGTACTAATACTAGTATTATATAAGAATAAGAGAATAAAAGAAATATTATATATATCTACCGCTAAGGAGCGGACCTTTTTATAACTACTTCGTCGAAGCGAGAAGAAGAAGGAGAAAGAAGGAAAGCCTTACGAATAGGGAGAGAAGCGTCGTCGTTATCGAACGAATCCGACGATAATACTATAATACTACTATTATCGTCTTTATCGCGCTTCGTATAACGAGAACTACGATTCGACTATTTATAGTTATCGTATATACTACCGAAGTATTCTAGAATACGACGATACTCTAGAAATAGGCGTATTAAGCGCTTATAACGATTATAAAGATCGAAAAGGATACTTCGGCCCTAAATAAGTAAAGCGTTAATATACGATAGCCGATACGACCGAACCTATACTAGAGTAATTACTTTACGTACGAAAGGTATATTAGTTTCTAGTATAGCTAAGATCGTTCGTTAAGAGGTATTATAGTAGTATAGTACTAGTAACTATCCGAAGGTAAGAAAAATAGGGATTTAAGTTAGCGCGAACTATTTTAACTAACGCTAAGCTATAGCGGCGTCCTATACTATTAATACTATATTATCTTAACTTTTTTATTCTTCTATTAATATGTACGACTAAATAGAAAGGTTTAGAACTTAGAATATAAAGAGTAAATTTAAGAGGAGGAAATAGATTAGTTTACTTACTTATTTACTATATTAACTATTAGTATATAAAGATTAGTAATAACTAATAATCGTATATAATAGAAGTAGAGATAAATACTTATAAAACTTTCTCGATAATTAATATAAAAGACGAAAAAGTAGAATAAAAGTAAATAGAAATAAGAATTTTACTTTATACGCTACTCGACGCCCGACTAGTTTCTATTAGGAGTAGCGGCTTCTTAGCGCCGTACGAAGAAAGAAAGAAAATAATATTATAAGTTAAATTCGTATTAAGCTCTAGAGTACGCTTTAGAGCGATTACTCGTAGTATACCTTTAGACTATATAACTATATAGTCGAAGCTATATAATTCCTTCCTATCGATTATCTTCTAGGAAACTATACTAATCTACTATAGGAGAGGATAGGGAGTATTTCCTTTATTCGTATAGTAGATAGATTTTCTTTTTTCTTTTCTCTTCTTAGCTTTAGAATCCTCGTTATACGATAGTTAGACGAATTACTTTAAATTCCTAGCTAAACCCTTATATAAACCCTTATATCTATATTTATATTTAGGATATAGTCCGACGATTAATATTTCCTTTATTATTCTAGTTAATACTCTTATATCTACTCTATTAAGGAACCCTACCTTAGTTAGAACTACTTATAGCTCGAATTATAATACTTATTTATAAAGGTAACTACTACTAAAATTTAGGCTATATAGTTATATAGTCGAACTCGTAGAAGGAAAATATTCTTAATTCTATAAACTATACTCTTATAACTACTATCTAATACTTAGCGTACGCTCTCGTACATTAGGTTACTTTTTTCCTATCCTCGTCTCTTAGATTATCTACCTTCCTCCTTACTTACTTATTCTTCTATACTAAGGCCCCTTCTTTCTTCTTTTATAACTAAGCGCCTCGAGCCCTAATATAATATAAGATTTTTATCTCTTTTAATTCTATAGACTCTCTTCTTATTTATATATAAATTTATAAGGTATTTAATCTCCGTAAGCCCCTTTTCTATAATTTTAAATTACTTATTAATTTCTAAGTATTCTAAATACTAATATAATAGTAATTTTATAATAGGAGTTACTAGAGTTACTTATAGAGTTTATTTATTAGCGCGTTACGTATAACGAAAGTTAGTCCGCGCTAGTTTATTAGCGCTAATATAATCTTCTATATAACGTAATCTATAAGCTAGTAGAATATATAAGCTAGTGGAATACTAATCCACTACTACTACTCTTTATACTTACTCTATTAACTATAACGACGCTAAATCGCATCTAATTCGCTATTAAGCTATTGTATTTAATGCTTAATACGTCCTAGAGTTATACCCTATCGTACTATACCGCCTATAACGCCGCTAAGCGCCCGTAACGCGAATAATAATAGTATCCTCGTCCTCCTCGTCGAACTCGTCTATATACTCTTAACGTACATCGCTCGTACTAAGTAGCTTACCGTTCTTAATATACTTCCTACTAGTCGTCTTTCTCTTCTTCCTTACTTAGATAAGCTCCTCTAGCTTCGTAATTCGCTCCTACGCTAGCTAGAACGCGTAAATAGCGTACTTAGTAGCCTTAGCTATCTATACGACGGCTAGGTTAGTTAGACTAGGAGTTAGAATAGTCTTCCGCTTAAGCGATTTCCTAAGCGTACGGACGTACTTCTAAACCTACTTAACCGTCCGCGGCGTCTCCGAATTCTAGCCCTACTCGAGTTCCTAACTCGACGGAAGTAAGAGAGGCGGCGTAGGCGTACGAAATACTAGCCTTAATTAATCGAGTATAACGCTTAGATCGTACGATACTAAGCCGACTACTCGAAAGCCTATCCTCGCGTTATATTTCGTGAACGCCTCGGAGCGAGCCGCTATATATAGGCGTAGGAAGTCGTTCTTATCGATATAGTATTAGTTTAGGCGTATTAGCTCCTTAATCCGCCTTTCGTACGCTCGCTTAAGCGGCGAGAAGTACGCTACGTCGAGCGGCTAGAATAAGTAGGAAGTATACGACGATATAAAAAGCGCGATAATATCGTACTTCGTATAATAGTTATTAAATTCGAGCGTATTATAGCTATAGTAGCTATCTAGAATAAATAATCGGTATTTACTTCGCCTCGAGCGCCTAGTAGACGACTCGAAGACCTCTTAGAGCTACTATAAGCCTATCTTATCGTTCGTCTACTTCGTCTCGCTAACGACGAGCTTTTAGTTAGTATACTCGTCGTTCTAAAGCTCTTAGAACTACTACTCCTAGTAGACCTTACTAGCGAAGATAATTAATAGATCTAATACTCTTCCGTCTACTACGATCGTCTCGATTACCGTCGTCTACGTACGATTACTAGGCTAAGTAACGACGGGCCGACTACGTCGCTTAGAGCTAGTTATAACTCGAGTCGTAGAGATTACTTCTATCTAGAAGCCCGTCTCGTTAAAGTTCTAAATATTATCGTCTACTACTCCGTATTTAGCGATAACGTTTCGTACTAAATTAAACTACGCCTAGATAACACTAGAATCTTTATAGAGAGCTCGCTACGAGACCTTCTTCCTAAGGTAATCTAAACGTAATTCGGAGCGCCGACGGACGAAGTTCGTAGCCTAATTAATATCGATAGTAGACGGCGTTATTAGCGTACTACGAACGCGCTTAGTAAGTAGTATATTCGCTTTTCTACTAACGTCGCCTACCCTAGGCGTATATCCGCGTAAATCTATATCTAGTATTTATCGTACTAAGACCTCTTCTTTCTACTAAGTAAGCTTTCGAGTTATAGTAGGCGTACTACGCTAGGAAGCGCCGCCCTTAAGTCGACGCGTTAATATTACGTATAGAATATCGTACGCGCGCGCTACGACCCTAATACTAGCGATTTTACCCTCTTATATAGCTTTAATAGCTATAGTAAGCCTCCCTTCTTATTCTAAATAAATAGAGCTTATAGTGGTAGAGATATTAATAGTAAAGGGTGAGTTAATAGGTGGTGGTGGATTAGTGTTCCACTAGCTTGTGTATTCTACTAGCTTATAGATTACGTTACTCTAAGTAGTCGATGCTATTTCTATAATCTTCGATCGGTAGGTCTATTATAGAGCATCCGGTAGGAATTAAATATAGTATCTATAGGGCCGTCGTATAGCTACTATATTTAGCCGTCTACGCAGCGGGAGGAAGGTAGTAAACACTATCTTTAATAGTGTAAATCACGTTTAGGTCTTCAGTCGCTAGTCAGAGGACCAACTAAAGTGTTGCGCTAGCTTACGGTTAGCTTACATATAATGATGTCAACGGGAACTACGAAGTACATAAGCCTACGAGCTTATTTTGTGCCGGAACTTAATTCGTCTTTACCTCTCCTGAACTAGCTGTCGACACTTAAGCTAACGTAACTATATATAGGATTAGCTCTATATTCTAGGTAAAAGGATTCCCAGCGTTACTGACGGTAGCCTTCTAAACGCCTTAGTGGATTTTACTGATATCTGCCCCTTATGTGGAGACTAATGAGATGGCGGAAACTCATGGGTTAACTAATCCGCCTTGCTCGTGAGGTCTTAATTACACTTTCCCTGAAATAGCTCGCGGTTTCTTCGCCATGACAGCCACCGGATAGATATGCCGATGACTATTAATAAGGGATGTTAACATGATGTCATAGCGAACTAAGGTAGCTTATTTGTCCCATGCAAATAAGTTCCTACTACTTGCTCGATTATAATCTCTCGGTTGATAATATAGACATTAGTCACAAGATCTTGCAAGATTTATATCATGGCAACAAACGCAAACACAGAATTTAACAAGCAGTATACCGATACGGACGATATTCCCCAAGGCGGTGATACCGTTGACAATTCATATACTAGTCGTCCGGATCAGAAGCAGGTACCTGTCTTAAAAGATGAGACTCCGGTTGAGCAACCAAACGACGCACGGAATCCTGATTCAGATGAGGCTTTAGGCAAGCATATCTATATTCTGAGTCGACGTTTGTTAACATCAATTTTAGCGCAAGACGAAGCCGAAGCGATCGACAAAGTTAACATTGTCAAGGGGGGTCGTACTCGAGGAGCAACGAAGCCAGCAGGTACCTACCGAGATCCAGAGGGCGAGGCAGACCTGCCTGCTAATGACGGTACTTCTGCTGTGCGCTGAAGGAGTGAATCGTGGCAGAAATGGAGGTAGAATGGATTGTGATGCTAGCTACAATATGCACAGCGTTCTTAAGAGCATCTACGGAGGAATGAAGCTTGACTATTGAGCAAACTCAAATGACCATTCTGCGATCAAGTAGTAATTCCTGTATTATCATCCTGAAACTAGCAGTAATGTTGATTTGAGGATCGCCCATTCTATCATTCCCCTGCCAAGCTCTGTGCCCGTGCAGACGGCTTCGTAACTGTTAGCCCACAGAGTAAAGGACCGTAGTTCCAGCAACGGCCGTCGTCAATATATTGCAACTCATCAATTATATGAACCATAATCAATTGGCCTTCAAACAACGGTCCGTAGGTTCACCAAGTTATAGTTTCGGGTAGACAACCTCTTTTCTCCAGCGCATCATTAAATCACACGCAGTCTGAGTCCCTAATGCTTTGCTACGTCGGTGCTACCTCTACTTTACTGAATCATATGCATTGGATTAATTAGTCGGCGACTCCAAGCAACAAATCCTGCCCTCAGCAACGTTGTTTACGTAATGGATAAATTTGCTGATTACAGGGGACGAAAACACAATGCCCAAAAAAGACCAATGGTGTAAACACTGTTCTCCATTTTACACATTTACATTGGAAACTTTTATCTTGAATCCTGTGTGGCAATTTACTTAGGGCCTAATGTGCGGAGTTATAATCCACCGCAAAAGAGCTCTATGATCGTCTGTTCTACTAGATCAAAAGTATGCACTCGCTTCTCTGACCCGGTCCTATTCCTCTAGAACTCGTAATTTAGGAGCTACCGGTGGCGGAACCCCCTTTCTTGCCAGCTTCGCTGGCCTTCTGACTGCCTGGTTCGAAGGAGCCACTGGAAGCCTGGCCTCCCTTGGAGGCAATCTCGCGCTAAAGACATAATATGAGCAAATGCATAAGGTAGATGAAAAAGGTGAGGCTTAATCGGACAAAAATAAGATACTTTACATACCTGCTTGTCAGGGTCCATAGAGGCAAAGCCGCTGTTATGGCTGGCTTGACCACCCTTGCTTGCAATTTCCTGAACTTCTTCCTGGGGGCGGTTTGCGAAGTTTCCTGGGTTGTCGTTGCCAGACATGTTGATGAATATAAAAGGCGTGTGGAGTGACCAATTCTATGTCTCGCTGATTGTTGTGCTAATGATTATGAGTATCGAGACTCCATTCTGGTCATGCCAGGCTATATAGAGCTGAAAGCAGGGGTTGATTGACATTTAGGCGACTCGTGTGACATCACTATGAACTGAGATTGTTCGGATCCTGTAGTAAATATGATAATACATCTCCTGATGCTCGGGAGCATGATCCGGACGCTGCTACCCACTCGATGATGCAAGTCGACGGGTGTGGCAGGGCGGCTGCCTAGCCTGCAGCAGCCCAGGGAGGGAACACCATGGGACTCCACTGGTAGAAGGCAGTGCTTCTGTGGCAATAAAACGCACCAAGGCCTCAACCGCAAGAGCACCAACCCACACAGGCGAAGGTCGATCAGAATTCACCCTAAGCGACTTCACGGTAGGTATATACCCAAATGGTCGGTAAAAGCTGGCATAAGTTCATATATAATGCGTAAGCCCATACTGCTGCTTGTATGGTATCACCATAGTATTTGGAGCATTGAAGTTAGCTCCTCCGTCGAGTAGTATCTGCACTGGCTTCTCGGGACACATCCTTAATCCCTTAGAATTCTTCGAGTAAGTGGGTGATCCTTCTTTGCCGGTAGATGCGTATGGACCATCAAAAACCGCAATACCAAAACACCTAAAATTCGACTAAGCAGGCTCCGAAGGTGGACGCGTGTTGGACCAGCAAGAAATCACTTCCGCAGGCCTAGGAATGTATTACCCGTCAATTATGCGAGCCGTAAGCTGGAGATAGCATGACGTAGCCGATTAGCACACTTCTCATGATCGCCTGAGACGCGCCGAAACAACGTCATAGCACGGTGGATCAAGTTGAACGTCCGAATAAATTACAACCTCTCTGCGTCGTGTCGTGATTTGTTGTTGTGGTCCGCAACGACGTGTTTCGGTCTTTACTTCCAGAAAAACCATTTCTCCCATCAGCAAGGAAGTGGAATATTTCACACACCTGTCGTAATGAATTGCTTCCATCGAATCCTTGACTATTTCTTATCATCAGTCAAATTGATAAAGAACCAAGAGGTTGGCTGGCGAACTGTCAACCGCAAGACAGGGAAACAAAGTCGTGAACAACAACCCATCTTGAAGAAAATTAAACTACTTTTCCTGTTTAGTCGCTTCGTCGAATGGGTTGACGTTACCCAAGCGATGCGGCTGTGGATTCACGACAAGACTATACAGGAAGGTACGTCCTAGGGAGTGTAACAATTGAAGAACTATTCCAGTGTGGCTAAGGGCAGATAGGTAAGAGGGAAGGCACGCCATCCTCAGCTTTACAGATCGTGTCATTCGTCGACTTCTATCATATTAATATGGATGACTTCGACCCCTCTGATATTAACAAGTATAGCACTTTTGAAGAATTTTTTGTACGCAAACACAAACCTAACCGCCGGCCGATCTTTGAAGAGGATGATCCGAGTAGGGCAGTCGTGGTCGCGGATTCTAGACTTGTGGTATACCCATCTATTGCTGAAACGCGAAAAGTGTGGATCAAGGGCCATAACTTCACCATTGCAAATTTGATTAATGACGATGCGTTGGCTCAGTCGTGGTCTGATGGCGCTGTTGCCAGCTTTCGGCTAAGCCCACAGGACTATCATCGCTATCATTCGCCAGTTCGAGGAACCGTCAGTTGGTATAAATCCATTTCCGGGCAATATTACCAGGTCGACCCAGTTTGTTTGCAGAGTGACGTAGACATCTTGACGGAGAATGCACGTTGTTGCATCTGCATCGACACTATTGAGTTCGGCAAGGTATTGTACGTCGCAATTGGCGCGACTAACGTTGGGACCGTCGAAATCAATGAGAAGTGCCAGAAGGCTGGCTGCCAGATCGAAAAAGGGGAAGAAGTGGGCCTCTTTCAGTTCGGAGGATCAAGCATTATCGTTGCTTTTGAAAAGGATCGGATTGATTTTGATAAGGATTTGCTCGATGTGAGCCGCAGGCAGGTCATGATGGATGTGGAGGTGGGCATGAGCATGGGTAAAGCCATGAATGAACCAGGAGACGGCGGTATTGGTAATCACCATCCTTAAGATCCTGCACAATCTCTAAGACTAGACTTAAAAGCGTATCCCTCTACTGAAGCGGAGATGAATTCAATCCAGACCCTTATAGTGACTAGATATGACGAAGATGAGATGTGGGTGGTAGAAAGGATGCATCGATAGATATTGGAGTTGAAGGAGATGATGCTGGGAGAGGGCATACCGTTGGATAACGGTAGAGCCAATAAGGACATTTAGCTTTTCCCCTTGAAAAATGAGCCCCTTGTGGAACGTAATATCTGCAAACAAGTATGGCAATAGAGCTAGAGCGCCCGACCCTTGCCGCAGGATGTGAGGATTGTGCTGTCGAACTATAACTAAATGGCTCTCTTACGTTCGTCTAGCTTTATTGAGGACGAAAGCTCAAATAAATTACAAACGTGGAGAAAACGCAAAGCTATAATACTAACGGTACAGCAAGGGAAGTTAGAGTTAGTCTCCGTACATCTTCCTTGTTTATAACGACCTAGCGTACAAGCGAGAAATCCAACGTGGATACTAGTAAGATAGGAGAACTATAAGGAGATAGATTAACGGGTCTAGCTTCGGGTTTAATATAGAGTATATAGAAGTAACCTATTATAATCCGAGCTATAAGTAGTTCTAAGGTAGAGTTCCTTAATAGAGTAGATACTAGAGTATCGACTAAGATAATAAAGAGAATATATAATCGTCGGACTATATCTTAAAATATAGGTATAGGATTACTAACGAAGTTAACTATATTCTATCTCGACGAAGATAGTAAGCGTATATATATATTACTAGTAGCTCTTCCTAGATCTTATAGCTCTTCCTAGATCTTATAGCTCTTCCTAGATCTTATAGCTCTTCCTAGATCTTATAGCTCTCTCTAGATCTCTTAAGATCTATAAGATTTAAGGAATCTAGGAGATCTATATAACGAACTAGGTCACTTAAAAGGTTACTAAGGAAATTAAGGCACCTACCTAAGGAAGGAGGTTAGCCGATAGAGAACGAGGCTAAGTTAGGTAACTAGGCTAGGCTAGATTCCCTAGATCCCTTAGATCTTATAGGATCTCGAGAGATCCGGGGAGAGCTATAAGATCTAGGAGAGCTACTAGTATTATATATATACGCTTATTACTCTAGATAGGACTATTATAGTTAACTTCGTTAGTAATCCTATACCTATATTTTAGGATATAATTCGACGAATAAGTATTCCTTTTATTATCTTAGTTAATACCCTAGTATCTACTCTATTAAGAAACTCTACCTTAGTTAGAACTACTCGTAGCTCGAATTATAATACTTTAACTACTACTTAATTAGTATTAGATATCTAACGTAGGATTATCGCGACTTAGATCTCTACTACCTAGTGTACGTCTACTCGTAACCTTAAATAATTCTTTAAAGACTAATATCGTTTAAGATAGTAGTTCTGACGAAGATTTTGACGTAGATATAGTTAACGTACTAGGACTTACTAATATATCTCGGGATAGTATTAAGGTAGAACTATTCTATAGAAATAGAAAGAAGCTAGGATACTTCCTTACGTAACTTAAGACTACCTTTAAACTTAATCTAACTAAGTATACTAAGGTAGAGAATAAGGTTATATTCGCGATAATATACCTTAAAGGAGCGGCGTTCTATTAGTTTAAACTAGTATAGAATAACTACCTCGAGTCCTCTAGCCCTAATAATAAAACTAGGGTATACTTTAGGAACTTTATATAGTTCGAAATAATAATTAAATAGATCTATAGTACGATTAGTAAGGCTATAGTAGCCTCTCGTACTATTTATACTCTTAAATAAATAGGATCTATAGCTAATTATTATTCGGAATTTAAGAAGCTAGTAAAGGAACTAGAGTATATAAACGATAATATCTTTAAGGATACGTTCTATAATAGATTAAAGAAGAAAGTTAGGAAGGAAATAATAGAACGCCTAGAAACCTATAAAGATATAGTAGATAAGGCTATTAAACTTAATAATCGACTATACGAGCTACGTATAGAAGATAATTAAAGAAGGGGCTTAGGAAAGCGAGGATATCGAAGGTATCGATATTCTCCTCGAGCTAATACGAAACGCCTACGAAACTACGAAGACTCTATAGACCTAGACGCTATAGAACGTTATAATACTCGACGAATAGGCCTAGGTAGAGGCCGGAATATAAGGCGAAAGGTTATAGGAGAACGAGATCGGAAGAAGGAAAGATAAAGAAAGGAAAACCTATACTATAGATATAGTAAGCCCGAATATTATATACGCGATTACCTAGAAAAGAAGAGCGCTCGAGGACTATATATAATAAATATATAGAACGATAGTATAGATAGCTTAATAGCGAAAAAGGCCGATACTATTAAAGAAACCTAAAGACCTACTAAGAATAAGAGTAAACTAGTATAGAAGGACTACTAGGAATCGGATAATTCCTAAGGATTAGGTAAGTTAAATACTAAGCTATTAGAAGAAGAATTCTAGTTAAAGTATTAAATTAAGAAGCCTAAAGAATCTAAGCGTAAGACTTAGAAGAAAGAAAAGTTCGACGAACTCCTAAAGGAAGAATAGTAGAGCGAAGTAATATATAATACGAGGAGAAATATCGTAAGATATACTTAAGAATTATAGTATTTCTATTACGAGGATAACTACTAACTCTATTTAACTTTAAAGACCGAAAAATAGTAGTTTCTATATAAGGATAGAAGAAGTATAAAGCCTCGGAAATAGGAATAGAGGGTCTAGGAAACCCTAGCTATAATAATAGTCGATTTCGAAAAAGAAACGATACTTATAAATACCGATAACTATACGATAATTAGAATAAAGTTCTAGAAGATAGTTAACGAAGTTATAGTATTTAATAGAAGAGTAACGTAGAAAACGTTTAAGACGACGTTAATCTATAAGTACCGAGCTCGAGGATATTAATAATATAGATATATCTATACGTATACTAAAGATAGAGAACTATATTAACTAAGAATTTAGTAAGAAGAAGACGAATAGGTATTAATAGACGAAATACTACGCTAATATAAGAACTTTACGAAATTCTATATATATTTCTAGAATAGAAGGAAAAGAGAAACCCTATACCGATATAATCTAGGCGTCGCTCCTAGAAGAGAATAAAAATATATATAGATCTAGAAATATAACGACTAGGAATACTCTCTATAAGCCGAATATACGTATAATACGTATAACGGAGAAGCTTACTTTACGACTTTTAAAGGACTAGATAAAGGAGTAACCTATACGGAAGGATAATTAGTTTAGCTTAAGTAAGGACTATTTAGTTTTAAGATAGTAACGCTACTACCGCCTTATTATAATATATCTATAATAGAAAAAGGACCCGCGAATAAGATTTTACTAAATAAGTCCGACCTAGTAATTATCCGAATCTACTACTAAGTAGTAGAACTAGCGGAAAACCCCGGAGTATAGTATAATTCCCTAGAATAACCGAAGAAAGAAAGAATCTATATAATAATCTATAAATATACCTAGAATAAATACGAAGATAAAGAAAATAGCTATACGTACGACCGCGTAGGCTACGTATTTCCTTTTCTATTTAGAGAAGGAGAAAATAATAACTAATTAGAAGAATTACGATAGTAGTTAAATAAGTATAAGAAGATAAGATCGTAGAGAATAGCGTATACTAACCTCGATAACGTTGTACTAATAGAAAAAGAAAGTAAGGTAGTAGTATTAGAATATTATCTTATAGTATTTATTACTAACTACTACTAGGTAAGCTTTAAAGACGGTATTAAGAAATTAATATTCTATCCTAGCGGACTAAGATAATTAATCCGAAGGCCGATTAGTCTAAACGAATACTACGACTTAGAATATCTAGTAGTAGCTTCTTACTATTTATACGATATAGTAGGGAGTAAAGTAGTACGCTATAACCTACTAGTATAAACGATTAGAGGAATATAGGTACGATTAGTATTCCTCGATAATAAAGAAGAAGAATAGGAGGAAGTAAACGCGGAAGAATCGGACGAAGATTTCGACGTATCGTTAGAAGAAGAAGAAAAATATTACGTAGCTAAGGTTACGAGAAATTAGATTAAAATTATAATAAAATTAGACTACGCAACGGATTAGGTTAGATAATCCGTAGACCTTTTATAACCCGAGTAAAAAGCCCTATAGGGTTTTTAGTCCTTATAAAAACCCGATTAACTAAAAAC